AGGGCTAGTCTGATTGGTGGGTAAGGATCATGTGAGCCAGCAGGGCTCACCATTGGACGGCTCTTCTCGGGGTATGGGGAAGTTAGTCTTTGGAGCTGGGGTGACTCCCGACAGAAACGGCTTGTGTCTTAGGGCCTCTAATCATAAGGATGTTAATTTTTTTCTTTTTCAAACACCCGTTGATGTTTCTGCGTTGGTTTCTTTGCGAAGCAGATTCTGTAGGGTGTGGGGTTGGCGGGGCGCTGAGCCCTGTCCCAGTTCCTGCTTTGAGTTGCTGGGTGCTGGTGGCTGATGGGGAAGCCGTGGCCAAACGCCTGGGCTCTGAGGGTGGAAAGGACAGTCACTGATGCAGGGTGGGGGGCACCTCTCAGAGTTCAGGCTGGGCGTCTGGTAGTCAGCTCTGCCAACGGAGCACCTGGCCCTGACCTCAACCACGTGGTCTGGTGAGACTGTCCATGGTCCAGGAGCCAGGCTGCCCTGGCTGCCCAGGTTCAAAGCCCCATTCTGCCATTGGCTCACTTGTGACCACATCCACTTCATAGAATTATTTTGCTGATGAGTGTGATGGGGATAAAGCGCTGAGAACAAGGCCTGCCCCATGACCAGGCTCTTTAGTAAGCGCCTCCTCTGTCCCTGGAGAGTTAGGATTATTATCCCTGCGACTCAGAGCGGTGGCTGAGGGTTAGGGAAGTCCACTTGCCCAAGGTCACACACCAGTTTGGAGACAGCTCAGCTGACCCTCACTCCAGATGCCTTCCTCCTCCTGGGTTGGGACAAGGGGGGTGAACACTGTGTTCCTGACCAAATTGCTGGGTGAACAAGTGTCTCCTCTTCAACCCGCCCAGGTGTGATGGGGACACCCCTGGAGGAGTGACGTGGGGACAGCCCATCTCAACCTGATGAGACCGATGGAGATGAGGCGGCCCATCTCCCTCTAAGCTCTGGCCTGAGGGAGCGGCAGCTGTCCCATGCTGCCCAAGGACAGGACCCCTCCTGGGGCGTTTCCTTCCCACTGGATCTGGCAGTGGAAACGCTTGGTGTTCAGTCCCTTTAACTCAGAGGGCCCATAACTGAGAGAGCGGCAGGCCAGATGGCACTGCCCTGCAGGGATGCCCCCCTGGGCCCTCGGTGGCCGCTCTGACCTCCCCTTGCTGCCCCGTAGCTGGTGGAGATCATTCTCTTCTGCCTGCTGCTCTACTTCTACAAGGAGAAGAATGCCAACAGCATCGTCGTGATTCTCCTCTTGGTGGCTTTGCTCGGTGAGTGGGGCCTGGGGGTGGGGTTTTGCCAGTGGCCTCAGAAGGAAATGGGGGTTTTGTTGATGGAGCCGAGGCCTCTGGATGCAGAAGCCTCTGATGCCAACCAGGGTGGGCACTCTGTGGACAGCTGCAGGAACAGGGGTCCTGCTGAGGGAGGCAGCCCCTTCATTTCCAGGATCCTCACTCAAAGGAGCCTCCTAAGAGCCGGGAGCTGCTGCTTCCACAGTGGGACAGAGGGACAGACTCGTTCTGTCCTCGGGAGCCTCCATAGAAGGAGGCGATGGCCTTGGGCAGGTTGGCAACCACGTGGGCTGTGTGAGTGGGGCCTTGGCATCTACAGAGAGGAAGCCTCAGGCAGAGCAAGGGAGGCGAGCCCAGAGGTCACTTAGAGGAGGCCAGAGGTGGCGCAGCCCTCCAGGGGCCATGCAGAATCCATGCTGGGCTCAAGGCAAAGCCAGATCCTTCTCTCCCTCTCTCCCTCCCCCCATTCCTCTCTCCCTCTCTCCCTCCCCCCACCTCTCTCCCTCTCCCCCCATTCCTCTCTCCCTCTCTCGATCCCTCTCCTGTCCTTTCAGAAGGATGGTTCTGTTGGGGAGATGACTCCTGAGTCTGGTTAGTGGACAGACGGACCCACCTGCATGTAACTTCATAGGAGAAGGGGGCACACATCCGCTGGGCGCTGCCTCTTGCTGATGCTATGGTCCCCGGCTGGTGACTTTCCCTGTTTAAGCCACTGTCCTCACTCTAAAAAGGGGTACAAGAGAACCCCAACTGGCCGGGAGGATCAGGGCTTACGTGGGATGGGCACGAAGACCTGGTTCCTGTGGCTTCTCTTCTGCCCCTCCCCCAAAAGCCATCCCTGAGCACAGGTTTGCATTGTTCTAATTTATTATTTTGGTGGGACAGCTTTATGGAGTTAGAATTTATATGGCATAACCCCCCCCACACCCATTGGAAGCCCACATGTCGGGGCTCTTAGTGCAACCCCGGAGCTCTGCAGCCCTCCTCTAGTGCTAGAACGGCTTTGTCACCCCCAAAATAAACCTCGTGCTGTGAACAGTTACTTCCCGTCCCCTCCCCCGGCCCAGCATCCCTTGCCCAGCCCCAGCGTCCCCCCACCCAGCATCCTTCCTCAGAGCTCTGCCCTCGAGCGTCTTCTCTGTGTGGAGCCCGTGGCCTTGGTGACTGGCTCCTTTGGCTGAGCATGGTGTTTTGAGGCTCAGCCCTGTCACAATGTCAATAGGTCCTTCATTCATTGGTGACGACTTTCCAAGTGGGTTGGAGGAACCTGAGTCCAGAAGCATCCTCTCCTCAGGGGTAGGAAGGCCAGCGGTTCTGAGGCAGCAGGCCAGTCCCCTCATCTCCCAAGGGCAGCCTGGTGGCACGAGCCCATCTTCAGTGGCTGTTTGGAAACTGGTGCAATGGCCAAGGGGCCCAGAAGCCACTGTGCAACAGGCTGTGGCTAGAGAGGGCAGAGCAGGGACTGGGCCAGGCCCCACTCACCTCCTGCTCGAGGTCTGTTCTTGTAACCCCTGCCTGGCAGGGCACCTGATGGTGTGTGCCCAGGAGCCGTCCTGCACCCCGGGTCAAGGCCATGGTCTCCAGAGGGTGATGGGACGCTCTGCTGAGGCTACCCAGGTGATATTTTTTCATTTCCCTTTTAAATTATATTTCCTGTCCTGGTTTATAATGTATATGCCACACGAGGACAGTGTTGTGTGACTAGAGTTCTGAAATACATAAGCACACACGCATGGGGAGTGTGTGTGCGTGGCACGGGGCGTGCGTTCTGAAACACTGGAAACTTCTTGGGATGAACGTTTTTAAAAATACAAATGACTGAGCATTGAAAAGCTCCCGGGCCCTTGGCACACCGTGTTTTTCCTGTGGCCGCCATGAGGCTGCTGCTCCAAGGAGGTTCGTTTATCCACCTGAAGCTCCTTTGGGCCTTGTGCTTCTGCTGCGAGCCGGGCGCGGGGTGGGCACTCAGGTGCAGAGGACTGAGCACACTGGCCCCCTGAGGCGAGCTGGAAACACCTGTCTGTTCTGCTGCCCCCTCCCCATTTCTTTGATGAGAGGTGAAGAGAAACAACCCAAATATCTCATCTCACCGTTAGCAGGTTGGCTACTGGCCGACCCTCATCTCTCACCAGGTCCTTAGGGGTCATACGCCCGCCTGACTCCCGCATCTCCCGGGACTACCCGCGCCCTTGTCCTCCATCTGCAGGCTCCATGACAGTGGTGACAGTCAAGGCTGTGGCTGGGATGCTGGTCCTGTCCATCCAGGGGAACCTGCAGCTCGACTACCCCATCTTCTACGTGATGTTCGTGTGCATGGTGGCCACCGCCATCTACCAAGCCGCGTGAGTCACAGGGCTTTCCCGCCCAGGCCTTGCCACGCAGGGCTCTTGTGTCCTCTGGATCTGACAGCATTGGGTTTTAAAGCCATGGGGAGGATCCGATCCCGGGGTTGACCTCCAGGTTACAGGAGGGACAAGGGCGCTGAGCTGTCACGAGGAGGGACTCTGTGCCACCTGAAAGACAAGCCCAGGGTGGATTTTCTGTTCCCCCACACTGTGAGGACCTGTGGTGAGGCAGCCTGGCTCCCCCTCTTCTCCCGGCGGGCATGTGTCCATCTGAGGACTTCAGACGAGGCCTTGCCCTCCCTAGGAGGCGGCCACTTGTCTGCTAGATGGGAAAGTAAGGGGGGTCATTTCTGTTCCTCAGGAAATCACCCCAAACCTTCCCAAGTCCGAGAGTGTGCGTTCCTTTCTCTCAGCACAGGAATTGAACCAGCCGCCCCGAGGGAGGCCTGGGCCTCGCCCTGAGCCCTGTTGCCCCAGCAATGTTGCAGGTGGCCAGCCTGAGGAGGGGCACGAGGCTCATTCAGCTCAGAAGCCAGCCCTGGGCTTGGTGTCCACAGCCATGAGGCCCCCAGGGTCCCCCACGGGGCCGCACTGTGCTTCACAGGGCTTGCTCATCTGGTCCTCAGGGCACCCTCTGGAGGGAGGTGCTGTCCCCTTTCTGTACCTGGGGAACTGAGCTGGGGAGTGGCGGGGCCCAGAGCTGAGCCCAGGCGTCCAGTTCCCGGCCTCCTGCTCAGCCTCCCTGGGGCGCGGGCTGTCCATCACAAGGAGAGTAGTCCCTGCCCAAGCGTCACACAGACCCAGTGCAGTCCCCAGATAAAGTCCTGTGCTCATCAGCTCTTCCTGACCATGGTCACCACCACCACCACCATTCTGACTGTGGTTATTTTTAGTCCACTGCAGAGAATTCCAGTTGTCCCCAGGGAGTCAGCGCCTGGTCCAGCCTCTGCTGAGCCCCAGGGCATACGTGGATGCCTGCCAGGGGCTTTGGCTCCTCTCAGGGCGCCCAGCACAGAGCCACAGTCCCTGCCCAAGGCACTCACAGCCCTGATGGGGGACAACCCATAAACAGAGAGCTACAGCTGACGGTGTGTGGGGTGTCCTCCCCAGAATGCCACCCCAGAAAGGATGAGGAATCTGTTCTACCTGAGATAGCGTTAATCACGGATGCAGAGATCAGGAGGGAATCTACTTTTCTCTTTTTTTTTCTGTATTTACTGCAATGATCACATTATTTTGAATTTAGAAGAAAATTTTTAAAAATAAGTACAGCACCAGGCAAATTGTGACATGTGCTCTAAGCATTTCTTGGCAGGGGTGGCAGGTGGAAGAGACCCAGGAGTGGCTTTTTTCAGGGTGGGAAGAGGTGGGACAGGCATCTCAGATGATGGGATCCTGCAATCAAAAGTGCAAAACAGGAAGGTGGTGCCCACTTGGGGGTTGGGGTGGGCCCCAGACCTAGGACACAGGTGTCCCTAATGTGAGGAGGCCACTCTCCTAACCCCAGGATGTCCCCTCACGCTTCAGACCAAGCTGCACTGTCACAGCCCTAGCTGGCCCCTGACCGAGTGCTTGTGTTGCAGGTTCTTAAGCCAAGCCTCCCAGATCTACGACTCCTCTTTGATTGCCAGTGTGGGCTACATCCTGTCCACCACTGTGGCCATCACTGCAGGTAAGGGGGCCATCATAGGTTCCTGTCTTCTGCCATAGCAGCAGGGGCATCACCCCAGTGGGTAGGGGCTTGACCACTACCCCATTGACTGGTTCTGTCTGTGGAGTCATGTGACTTCATGGAGAATGTGCAAGACCTGGGTTAGCATCTCAGTGCAGATATGCTCACTGTGTGACCTTCGTAAAGTCACTTAAGCCCTCTGAGCTCAGTTCCATGTTTCCAAAATGGGAGTAATCACACTTAGCTCCTAGAATAGCATTACATATGATCCAAGTGCCTCTGCCCCATACTGCTTGGAGATCCCAGGCAGGGTTTCTTCAACAATCTGGGTTGTCATCTGCAGCACCCCAGCCCCTACTAGCCAAGTGATCAGACATCTGTTCTACATCATTTTTAGAGGTCGTGAGTATTTGAAGCGTATGCAACATCGTAGGTGCTCAGAAAGCGATCATTTAATTAGAGTCCCCTTTTCTTCCATTCCACCCCCAATTTTTTTTTCCAGTTTTTTTCTCAAGCAGCTTGCGAGGTTTCAAGTGTATCAATGAGCTTGTTGTTTATTTTTAAAATTGCAATGGTGACTAAAAGTCCTCAGAGTAAACAAGCTGATAAGGACTAAGCACCTCCGTTGGAAGAGGGCCCGGCTGCGCAGCGGCGCCCTGCACTTAGGACAGGTTGGACCCAGATACATTCTCAGGGGCAGGAACAAGGGCACACAGCCTCCCAGGACCTGGGCTGTGAGCGGCTCCACCCGAGCAGCCACAGCTAAGTCCCAACCGAGAACCTTGGTCAAGAAGATGGTAAACAAGTCAAGGTTGCAAGCAATAGCAGATGCTGTGGTTGAGTCAGAAATGAGCCAAGCAGGGGGTAGGAGCCCCAGAATACAGTAGGAAGCCATGGGGTTGCAGCGATGCCAGACAGAGGTAGGCTGCAGGGCAGCGCAGTGGGCGCGGTACCCCCAACACTGCAATAGTGGAGCTGTTGGCTGGGCATCCGCTGACCACCATGGCCCAGAGCCCCTGAGGATGCAGACACAGGGGCTGTGTATCCAGCCCAACAGCGGGGAGGGGCGAAGGCGTGCGTGCCTTATGTGCGTGTGTGTGTGTAAGAATGGTAAAGAAGGTCGGTGGCATCCATTAGGAGCATCATGGCAGTGTCATTGTCCTGGTCTTGATCATGCATTGTGGTTACATGATCAAAAGCTGGAGGAAGGGTAGGTACGTGGGACTCTGCAATTGTGGAGTCTGATATTATCTCAAAACATTCAAAAAAGAAAGGTAAAGATGAGAGGGGGCTTGCAGGGTTGGGGACAGGGAGACCATCTGTTCCCCTAGGTGGCTTTTAGTCGTTACTCTAATGTCTCCAGGCATCTGTTCCCTGCAGGGAAGAGCTAGCCCATCCCAGACAGATGGGTGACGTTTTTAATTCCTGGCTGACACAGGTGCAGTGTTTTACCTGGACTTCGTCGGGGAGGACGCGCTGCACATCTGCATGTTTGCACTCGGGTGAGTCCCGGGCACGCTGGGCCAGGCACAGCAGGGGGCTGGGCTCCAGTCTCAGGATCCCTCAGAGCCAGGGAGCTGTGGGTCTGGACCTTCCATCTTACTCCTCAATATCTCCTCCTCTCTTCTCTTTGGGGTGTTAATCTCTTGGTCATTTCTAAAACAATACCTTTTTGACCCATGAAAAGGCTCTCATCCTTACCCCACATCTAAGAAACACATTAAAGTTCCATAAGAGACCAACATTTTGCAGAAACTTAACAGGATTGATAATATTCTGTTGGCTACAGTAGAAATAAGGAGGTGCCATGAGAAATCAAACACGGGCTCAGAAGTGGGGTGGGGGTGGGCAAGGCAAACCTATGCTTCTAGCAGAGGGGGCTTCCCGAACCTGGCTAGCAAGTGCACCTGCGCGCGCGCCCCGAGTCCACCTGCTTACATCTTGAACATGGCCAGTGCTGTCCTTCACCCTGATTGGAGGAGTTCAGGGTGACAATCCAATGCAATTGGCTAATTTTAGAATTAGGGTGGGCAAAAGAGAAGGGCTACAATTGGATCCAATTAAGGAGGAATACTAGATTTTGAAAATGAACCACCAGACTTTTCTGTGTCTCGAAGTAAGTGGCAGGGGAGACCAGGGTTACTTGAATGTGGGGGTACAATTTGTCAACATCAATAAACATGTTAAATAAGTATACTTTTTTAATGTAGCATTCAATTTGTAAAACTTAACTTGGAAGAACATTTGAAGGGGAACATAAAAGACACATGAAGTATTTAATTTTTAAATTAATTATATAAGCTAACAATTAGAGGTAAGCTAATATCGATGATAAATTATTTGTGCTGTATTTGTATAGTAAAGCGCTATGGTGCCATTTGAAAACTTGAGGCCAGCCTGTAGGTGCTGACAAAGAACCCCTTGTAGGGTGCATTACATGAAAAAAAAAGGTACATTTTTTTAAAAGTGGGGCCTGCCCCATGTTCCAGCAATTCATACATCTAGATGGCTTTCTCTCTCTTTTTTTTTTTTTTTTTAGTAGTAGTAATTGGACATAATACCTTTATTTTTATGTGGTGCTGAGGATCAAACCCAAGGCTTTGCACTTGCTAGCCCAGTGCTCTACCGCTGATCCACAACCCCAGCCCTCCACATCTAGATTTTTACCCAAAAGAAATGAGTGCATATTTTGGTAAAATGTCTCCAATATGAGTATTTATAGTAGCTTTATCTATAATAAGCTCCAATGAGAAACACCCTAAATGTCTTTCAACAGGAGAGCAGAAAAAAGTATAGAATATTCAGACGATGGGTGCTACACAACTAAAACTAATGAATTATTAATACATGCAATAAAGTAGATGAATCTTTCTTTAATTTTCTTTTAAAATGGGCACAATATCTTTATTTTGTTTATTTTTATATGGTGCTAAGGATCGAACCCAGGGCCTCACACATGCAAGGCAAGCGCTCTGTCCCTGAGCCACAACCCCAGCCCAAGTAGATGAATCTTAAAAATAATTTATTGGATATAAGAAGTAGAGGTTGTACGATTTGACTAAGGAGAATCTGAAAATAGGTAAATGGCGTCCATAGTGAGAAGTCAGGCACAGGCTCTCTCCGTATAGAATGACTGCCATTTCCTGTTGCATCTGGAAGTGGCACAGAAGGCTTCCAAGGAGGGGGGGAATGGTTCTGTCTGGGCCTGGGACCTGATGACAGAAGCAAAAGCCACCCAGATGTACATTTAGGGTTCTTGGATTTTATTGCATGTAAATTACACATCTATTTTTAGAAACTAGTTTACATAAGCTATCAGGAAAAAATAGAAAAATACTGGGGAAGACTACACACCTACCTGGAGTGCGGAGGGGGACTGGGGGGGCACAGGAAGCCCCCTTTTCAGTTTAAAGATTTTTACTTTTCTGTACTTCTGTTTTTATATTTGTTTTTAAAGACAAGGTTCTGAGACTCCTGGCTGAGTAGAAGTGAAAGAATCAGGAGAGTCTGATTTATTCTGATTACAGCTTGGTGCCTGCGGGGCACGTGGGCTGCTGGGCTGTTATTATTCAACTAGTGTTCATACCCCCCCACCCCCAGCCTGGCCGCTCTCTGGGCTGTGGGGCCTTTCCCTTAGCACCTGTGATTGCAAGAGTCCCTTATCTCCCTCCCTCAGGTGCCTCATTGCGTTCCTGGGCGTCTTCTTAATCACGCGGAACAGGAAGAAAGCCATTCCATTTGAGCCCTACATTTCCATGGATGCCATGCCAGGTAACGTTCAGACCTCACATGTCCCACTGGCCCTCTGTATAGAATGACTGCCATTTCCTGTTGCAAAAGAGACGAGCGCAGCTCTGGGCTGGGTACAGGAACTGTGTTCTGTGCCTTTACAGTGTGACTGTTTTTTCTTTCTTTCTTTCTTTTTTTTTAAATCTCATTGTGCAGAAGAGGAGGCAACAGCTAAGGCACCTCGGATGGTTTTGAAAGTACATCTTGCCCGTTCCCCTGACTATTTTGGGATCTTTTAGAGAAAACCCTGATGCACACTGAATGTAATTATGATCTGCAGCGCCAGGCTTCATGCCTGAAAGTGGAAAAATCCATTCATCTTGTTGGAATGGAATGATCAGAGAGGGGAAGGAAAACAGGATGAATGAAATTCAAATCCTATAACCTCACTCCCTGGATTCCACAAGGGAGTGGATTGTTCTAATTTTCCGGGGAGCTGAGAAGCACAAGGTCAGATGCCTTTAAGCCTGGACAGTAACATAAACACGTGAATCCTGAATCCGCCCAGCGAGCGCTGCACAGCAGGGAGTGGTCGGGCCAGCAGAGAACCGAGAGTGCTGTGCAGCCAAGAGGGATTCGGGCTGGGGAGTCGGGTGTTGGGCCAGCCCCAGCGAGAGTTGCTGTCCTGGACTCTGTAGGTTGCCAGTGACCATGAACTTAAATGTGTAAGGTGGAGCTCTATCTCTAAAACATAATCTCCATTCTTCATTAACAAAATGCAGACACACTGATGACACAGAGCAGCTTTTGGGTGGTGATTCTGTGACACAGGAGTGTCCTCAGGGCTGACCGAGGTGCTCCCTTACCACCCATCCCCAGCGAAAGCAGTTGATTGTCCTTTCTGTATTACCTCCTCACCTCGTGCTGTCCAGCTGTTGTCTGTCATTCTCGCTGTGACCAGCCTGCCTGAGGAGGGCAGCTCCACGTCACTCTTCCCATTTCACCCCGCTTGTTCAAGTTACGTGTAAAACCAAGTGGAGTGAGCTCCAAGGTGGGGACCCGCGGCTCCCCTAGGAGTCAAGTGCATGGGCTTTGGTGCATGGACCTTGAAACGTCTAATCTGGCTGCTCAGATGCCTTTTTTGCTTACTTCCTTGTTTCTCGGCTGTGTTCCGGATAGATGAGGGCGCTGGATAGCTGAATTCCAGATAGGTGAGGTGTCAACTCCGTGTGTGCGTGTATGTGTATGTGTATGTGTATGTGCGTTCGTGTTTGTGAACTACGTATGTGTATATATCTATACAAATACTTGTATATACATATATACAGACATTTTTGGTGGAAAATAGAAGGTAACCTCGGGTAATCTTAGATTCCAACATTCTGTGGCCTGTTTGTAGGTGTGCTTCTTGAACTTTCTCTTTGTACCTTGTGACTAGAGGGGAGGTCAGACATCAAGGAAGGGAGACCCTACCCTATCAGGGTGGCTGTCAGGACACTCCTGATTCAAGGCGTGTTCTGTCCTGTGAAGAGTGTGAGCTTGTGGTGCAGATGACTTGGATTCAAATTCCACCTTTGCCACCTGCTCATCCTCACTTGTAAACTGGGTTCCTTCGGGGGCAGTGGTGTCATACGGAAGGACCTCTTGCACTGTGTCTGGGACATGGTAGATGCCAGCTTGAATTTTGTTTCATTTCCCTTTTGCTTTAAAAAACTTTGCAAGTTTTCAAACGCTTGTTGGACCTGGTAGCACAGGCACAACGAAACTGCCACAGTCTGTCTTCCAGCCCCTCGGTGTCCTAGTCAGCAGGAGGACCTGGCCTTTTGTCTGCCTGGATTGCTATCCACACAGCAGACCAGTAGCTGCTGCTCGAGAGGTCTCCAAATTCCAAAAATCCGCTACGTGTCAGTTTAGATTGGCTTTAAGTATTAGGGATCCAGAGCCTCCTTGAACCTGAGAAGAGAGAAGCAGCCCCCCACCCCCATCCCAGGAGCCCACTGGTCCTCTGCTGGCTCTGATGCCTCCTGCTGAGCAGAACCATGTCATACATCTCCAGTGGCAGATAAGCTTATTGTGTGACCAAAATCCCTGACAAGAAAAATTTGAGGGAGGAAAGACTTACTTTGGCTCACAGGTTCCAGTCCAGTTTGTGACAGGCCAAGTCCAAGGCAGAAATGTCATGGTGGAGGGAAGCTGCTCAGCTCCTGCAGGCAGGAAACAGGGAGAGGAAGAGCACAGCCTCAGTGAACTCCCTCCACCCAGCTCCCGACTCCCAGCCATCAGTGGATTAGTCCATTCATGAGGTCAGAGCCCTCAGGATCCAGTCCTGCCTGAGAGCCCACCTCTGCACCTTGCTGCCTTGGGGAACATGCTTTCAATGCGTGAGCTGTTGGGAGACATTCCAGATCCAAACCATAGCACAAGGCCACGCTGGCCATCATGGGTGACCACACAAACAGGGCCACTCTGTTGTCATGTCTGAGCACAGACAAAACATAAACATTTTCCACACCGCATAAAAAGACCAGCAGCCCACCCTGCAACCCCGCAGGCTAGTGTGAGACCCTCCTGCCTCCTTGCCAGTCACATCTGCAGCCTCAGCCTAGGCTTCCCTCCTCGAGAAGACCTACTAAGATCCCAGGAGAAGTAGCCGCGCTCTCTGGACAGCATTGGAGCCACAGCAGAGCCTCCCTTCCTCGACCCCTCCCCACCCCGCCCCACCCCCACCCAAATCCCAGAATGAATCCTTTCGGACACCCTGTGACTCACACACCCCTGGCTCCCCAGGGCGTGCATCTTACTGGGGTGCATCCATAAACCTGAATCTGCTCAACTGTAGGTGTGTTCCTGGTCCTCTTTGCCTGGGGAACATTGTCAAGATCAAAAGCTAAACAATGCCTTGTAAGCCACTCCTCTTCCCTGAGGAACAGTCACCCCAAATCCAAACCACAGACTCTTCAGCTGTGCCCTTCAAATGACCATTATCTGAGTCATGTGCTACATGGAGGCAAGGGGCCTTCCACAGACTGGGTGCTCCCGGGCCAGCTGCAGGCTGGAGAAGAGCAGAGCCCAGCCCCGTGTCTCGCTGGCTGTGTGATCCCAAGCACATTGCTCCTTCTCTATGAATCTGTTTTCTTTCTTTTTAATATGTTTTTAGTTGTAGGTGGACACAGTACCTTTATTTTATATGTGGTGCTGAGGAGGGAACCCAGGGCCCCACACGTACAAGGCGAGCATTCTACCCGCTCAGTCACAACCCCAGCCACTGAATCTGTTTTCTTATCTAGGAAATGAGGGCGGCAGCTACCCCTGTCCTTTGGGGATTCAGTGCAGATATGTGGGGAGACCACACAGCCTTCCAGCTAAGAGTGGCTTCAGAGTGTGGCCCCCTGGATTGGCAGCCTGGCACTGCCACTGGAGAGCTGCTGTTCTCGGGCAGTGAGCCTCCAACTGCCTCACTCTCCTCAGCAGCAGCTGTGAGGGTCGTGTGAAAAACAACCGTCCAGCTGTTCAGAACAGTGTCTGCCACCATCTGAACACTCAGACCTCGGCCACTGTCACCATTGTTACCATTGGCACTATTACTACTTGGGGGCACGTTAAGCCATCAGATGCCAGCTGTTACCCATCGTGTCTTCAGGAAGACACTTTGCAGTCAGCTTCTTCTAACTCATCCTGGGGACAGGAGAATCTGAGAGTCTATTCCTTGACAAGAGAAGAGATGCCCTCAAAAGTAACCAGGTCCCCCCTAACTGGAGGAGTGACAGGGTAAGGCTAAAGGAATTCATTAAGATCTCTGCCTTCAAATGTGAGTAGAAACCCAGCGTCACGTGCCCACAGAGCACTAACATGGCCGTACGTCACCCTGCACTTGGACAGGGGATGCTGGTGTTGAAGATCAGCACCCTCCAAGCATCATGATGCATCTGCCCCCCTCATGTCCATGATGCCTAAGTTACTCTCATCCCTCAACAGTACAGTGAAGCGCTCTGACTTCTGAGTTCATTCAGCAGTCGAGTGTTGGCATCTACCACATCCAAAGCATGGTGCCCTTTCCACCCCGCCGTGGGTCCAAACACACATCCCATCTCATTCTAGGTCCACTGGTGGTTCCTCCAGACAGTGGCTGGTCAGTGGCTGGTCTGTGCGCATATTTCCTGAAGACTTATCTCTGTTGCTTAGCAACTGTCCCTTTCTGAGTGTTCTCTTTTCAACCTAAAGCATTCAGGAAATGGGCATGCACATGACTGGCCCCTGGCCGCCTGCTTAGTGTGGCGGGTGGAGGAAGGCGCAGCCTCTTGGGCCTCCTTTCTGCATAATGACGGGGCATGGATTTCATTTCAGGGATGCAAAACATGCATGACAAGGGGATGACGGTGCAGCCTGACCTCAAAGCTTCTTTTTCCTATGGGGCCCTGGAAAACAACGACAGCATTTCCGAGATCTACGCTCCTGCCACACTGCCAGTCATGCAAGAGGAACACGGCTCCCGAAGTGCCCCGGGGGTTCCCTACCGAGTGCTGGAGCACACCAAGAAGGAGTGAGCCTCCCGGACTGCAGCTCGCCCCCCTGGCCGCCCACGCCGGGCTGACGGCTCCCTTCTTTCTACAACTTGCCTTTCAAGGTTTTTTTTTTTTTTTAATCGAGAACTCTATAGAAGGGGGATCTTGGAAAGCCTTGTGACCTTGGTCTTGAACTTCCAAATGGGGAGGTTGGGGAGGGAGAGAAGAGTATTCCAGGTGGGCTGCGTGGAATTCAGCCCAGCCTGGCTTAGCCTTCTGGCCTCCCGAGGGCACTGAGCCTCCCCAGGCAGTGACCAAGGTTGCCGTGCTCTTGGGCGCTGCAGGCAGAGATTCTGCTCTTACTCCTAAATCCAGCGAAGCCCTGGGGACCTCTAAACTCATCCTCCGCCACTCGCAGGCTCGTCTCCCACTGACTCACTCACAATTCGTATTTTTGACAGTATCCACTCGCTCCGTTCAGGGGCATAGCAGGCCTGCTGTGAGCGGAACACGCGGTCACTGGCACCTTGGCAGTGTCCCTCGGCCTCTGGTCATCAGTGCTGGATCTGCTCTAGAAACTAACGTGGTGTTGGTCCTGTGAGAACTGCATGATCGTGTTTCCCCCAAAGGAATGGGGCAGTTAGAGAAGAAGGGGGAGAATAGGAGGACTTGGAGCCAAGGATGTCTTTATACAGGACAGACGAAATCTGAGTTACTTTCCCGCCCAACACCCGCTGGGAAGTCTGGAGGTGCTCGGCCCAGAGCCAGCCTGCAGCCACCCCCTCTGTGCTCTCCCTTCAGAGACCCACCACCCACCTGTGAGGTACTGGTCATTTCCCTGGAATCAGTGCAGGCTGCTGGGGTCCCCAGCCACAGCACTGTGCCTGGGAGAAGCAGCTGTACTCACAGATGGGCTGTGGCTCCCTCTGGCCACAGACCTGATCATCTTAAAGGAAAGAAAGGTTTGCAAACTTTAATGAACATAAGGGTCCCTCAGGAGTTTATTTAAAATGCAGATTCCTGCACCCCAGCTACGGAGACATTTTAGGTGGGCCTATGGGGTAGGGCCCAAGTATCTGCATTGGCAAATGGCACCATAGCTAGTAACCCAAGATCACAGCCCTCGAAAGCCTGCAGTGGAAAGAGGCAGCTGTTAGGACCCCAAGGGGCCCCTGCTAGGAGGTGAGAGTTATGCTTCCATTTCCTCTCTGGGCTGCTTGCGGCAGGTTGAGTGGCCCTATAGGATCTGTAGCTTTCCCCCACCCTGTGAGTACTACTTAGATCAGCTGCTGCTTCCCAGGGCAGCCTTTAACTAAGGCAAGATAACAGTGTTAACAGGCCAGTGTTGATAGGTCACTTATCTCTGTAGATTGTGCTTAATGCTGATTTAGCACCCTGACTTCACAATTCCTGTTGTCCTGATAACCACTCTGTATTGTGTCTTAACCACTTCTGTATTGTCTTAAATGCCTACCAAGGCAACAAAGAGCTTTTTGTTCCCTTAGGATGAGTATCGAAACCGTTCAAAAATATTTATGAGGTATTTACTACTCGTTAAGCATTTAGAGGGTGAAGCTACCAGCAGGACAGGGTTCCCATCCTCCAGCCAGCAGGGGGAGACACAGGGATGCAGGCGACTCCTGCAGGGCTGTGAGAGGTGCACACTTTTTTGCACGGCTGGGGATGAACCCCAGGCCTTGCACACAATAGGCAAGGGCTCTACCCCTGAGCTACACTCCCAGCCCCAAGAGCAGACCACAGAAAGCAACAGGCCAGGCCCTGAGCCCAAAGGGTTTTCAGAATTGGAGGTGATTCTGGCCCCAGGAACAGATAGTAGTGACAATGACGGGGCCAAGCTAAGATTTAAGCAGAGCCTATAGAGTGGGGTGGTCTCACACACTCTGCCCCAGCAGAAGAGCCAGCATTTGCAAAAAAAAAAAAAGGGTGGGAGATGAACCAGGAAAGATCAGCAGTGGAGGCTGAGCATCCTGAATACCCGGCAGAAGAGTGGAAAGTGTACCCTGGAGGGCCTGGGAGCCATTGATGGTTCCTGAGGACGAGAACTGCAGGATGAGCTCTGAGTGGACAGGAGGCCTTGTTCAGTGTGGAGGAAGAAACGGGCTGAGAAGGCACCTTTCAAGGTCAACCTCTGGGCCTGCAAGGACACACCAAGGGGAAATAGGATCAGGTTTCAGTGCTCTTCAGATATTCCTGTTTCCGGGTGGTTTTTCTAGGGTCAGGGAGGGGCGGAGTGGTAGGGAAGGTCAGCGGGAGCTGTTCAGTGCACCCAGCCAGGTGATGGGCCTTGGCCTTCTGAGTGCTCCCAGCCTCCCTCCAGCCCTGTCCCTTCCCACTTTGGTTAATGAGCCATGTGGCCTTGGGCCAGCCAGCTCTCTTGAGATGTGTGGATACAAGAGCACCTTAATTTCAGGTCTGCTATGGGTCATTCCTGGGTGACAATGACAGTGCCACCCAGGAACTGCCACCAGGGCCTAGGCAGCTCCCTGTCCTCAGGTCTGGGTAGTGACACCACCCCTCAAGGCTGAGCAGAAGGCTGTGGTGGTTTCCTGAGTGCGGCCAGAGGATCGTCTCAGGCAGCTGGAAAGGACAGCCGAAGGGGGGCCCTCATGTCCAGAGTTCCGAATCTGCCTGGGCTGGCCATTCCCGGGTGCTGTCCCTAGGTGAAAGTGGACTGTCCACTAATGGTGATGCGCACTGGCTGGTAGGAGCCACTCCCAGCTCTGAGTCCTGTTGTCACTCATGGCTCTGACGTTCCCAGCCCTTGATGCTCCAAGCCCCATTGAACAGCCCCGTCCTCCCAGCAGCCAGGTACCTGATGGAACATCACCAAACGTGGGTTTAAACTTCCGCTGATCTCTGGTCTTCCTCTGCCCCCTGTTGTACAGCCTGGGATTCTGGGTTCCCTGATTAGACATTAAACATGTTCAGAGACTGCTTTGAAGATGGGTTTTGCAGCATGGGATTGAATGCTGGGCAGGGAAGGCAGGGCCTGCGTTTCTAGTAGGAACCAGCCAGCTCCAGGGTGCTGTGCAGACGGGGCATCCATCAGGGCAGTGCGGGAAGCCCCACCCAGCAACCTGTGAGTTCCTAGGATCGACCCCACACTGGCTGGTAGGCAAAAGAAAGTCGCTTGTGTGTTTCCCTGAGAAGCTGTGTAAATGAAGTCACTTTAGGACATATTCTATGTGGATGCTTATATTTTGTTAACTTCATGGCTAATATAGCATGTCTTATTTTTTAAAAAGAAAAATGTGTACTAGGTGCAAATAACACTGAGATGGTATTTAATTAAAAAAAATCCATGCAGTATATATTGAATTTGAGTCTTTTGTTTGGCTGATATTTTCTAGATTCATCCAGAACAACACTGGCTAATAGCACTTTCTGTGACGGCGGAAATGTTCGATGTCATTACTGTCCTATATGGCAGCCATTGTCCACATGCAGCTGTAGAACACTTTAAATGTGGCTAGTGTGCCTAAGGAACTGGATTTTTAATTTCCTTCCATTTTAATTTAAATTTAGAAATCCACACATGGCTACTGACTGCTGTATGAACCCTGAAGACCTAGAGATGCCCACAATGCAAGGGAAGCTGAATTGAGCACTTTTTCCCTGCAATGGTTAAAAGCATAGATCCTACCTGCACGGCTTGTTAGCAGTGTGGTGTAGGGCAAGTTACTTAACATCTTGGCGCCAAATCTGTGAAAAAGGAAGGTTAGCTAACTACCTAAGGGTTACTATGAAGAGCAGATGAATTAATAGATGGGCAGTCTTGGGACCATCCCCTCAGGACAGGGTGTTATATTGAAGCAATAGTTTCCCTCTTGTTTGAATCAGCTTGTTTGCTGCCATGACCAAAAGACCCGAGGAGAACCATTTTAGAGGAAGAAAAAGTTTTATTTGGCACTCACTGTTTCTGAGGTCTCAGTCCATAGATGGCCAACTCCGCTGCTCCAGGCTTAAGGAGAGGCAGAACATCATGGTGGAGGGATGTAGAGAGGAAAGCAGTTCAGGATCTGGCAATCAGGGGGCAGAGAGAGAGCTCTGCTCACTGGGGAAAGCATATGTACCCCAAAGGCATTCCCCCAGGGACCCACCTCACCCAGCCACATCCTATCTGCCTTCGTTTCCACCCAGGTAATACCATTCAAGTGGATTAATGCACTTTTAGGTTAAGGCTCTCTAACTCAATCATTTCACCTCTAAACATTCTTGCATTGTCTCACGGGAGCTTTGCGGGGAACACCTCATCTTTAAACTTTATTAAATAATTTTTTTTCCATTTTAAATTATATAATGAACACTTGTGACTTAAGCAATTCTATGCACACATGTCTCTTCATTCTAAGTTTCCAACTTATAAAGGCAGGTGTTGTATAGTACCTGTTTGCTTATACCACACACTTAAGTAAATGTATACATACTCATACATTTACAAAGCACATACTGTATACCACGATGCATGAAGACCTTAAGTATACCTTGTGTCTCCTTTATGATGCATTTATGAAGCACTTACTGTATACCACACAACACATAAAACCTCATGTTTATCTCAAGTTTTCTTTATAATTATTCCACAAAGTTTAGTCTTATCCCCATTTTACAGGCGAAGAAACTGAGGCTTGGGAGGAAATAGCTGGTGAATAGCAGAGCCAGGATGCCAGCCCAGGGCTGCCTGGCTGGGACCCTGAGCTTCTCCTGGGCTGGGCTGCCTTTCCCAGTGTGCTGGAGGGGGTTTCAGTGGGCAGGGGTCTGCTGTGCATGAGGACTGCAGCTTCGGCTGAGAAGGGAAGGAAAACAGTTTCAAGGGAGGCTGGGACCTGCAACAGAAGGCCATCCGCTGACATGCATTAGTGGTCCCACCATCTAACCACTAACCAGACAAAGGACACTGCGGAGCCATCACAGAGCTGGAGATACTTTTGAGTCCACAGGAATCCACGAATCTGAGACTCTGTTGAACGAAACAATACAACTTAAAGGTTATTCAGTTGTGATTTCGTTTTGCTTTTGAGATAAATTCAGCTTTCTTGGTCCAAACAAACACAAGAGGGAAACAAAGTCCACACCCTGTGTCACCAAGAGATTGTGTTTGGTAGGTCAGCACCCGTGTCCCCTCGTGGCCTTATTAAACCACAACACACCAGGCAGAGTATTAGGTTATAAACATAAAACAAACGCAAGCCACGACGTGGACATCTTGTTGTGACGCCACAGGTATTGGTGCGAGAACGTGAAGGGGGACACCAGATCAGGGGGCAGTGAGGACATGGCCTCACCGTCTCCATGTTACGCGGAAACGTGATCTCCACTTTGCACCTGGAAATCTTTATATGCTCAACTCTCAGGACTGCTTTTTAATTAAAAAGCAAGTCACAGAGCCCCTGTTGAACTCTCCTAAAACCTGTTTGTCCTTAACTCAAAAACTGAAAGACAGCTGTGCAGTTCTCCCAATGAGGAGGCCACAGAGCCGCGTAGATGGTGCTTGGTTACAAATACCTCCTATCACACACACCTCTCTTCCTATGGATGAGACGCGGCATCTTTGCATGGTTACGTACCATGTGTTTTTCTGTAAATTACCCATTCTCTTTACCCATTATTCAGTGCCTCCTGCTGATTTTTAACAGTGATTTTTGCCACGGATAAACCCTTTACTGTGATCTGAACTACAAGCATTTCTCCCCTCTTTGGTTTTTTGCCTTTTGATTTGCTTATGATATTTCTTTTCACTGCTATGAAAAAGTCTGGTTATTTTGTGTGTGTGTGTGTGTGTGTTTTATATAAACTTCAATTTTTTCTATATACCTATTTGTAGATATAAGTATTTATATATACATAATGTCTTTTCTCTTGTGGCCTCTGGATCTCAAATCGGTTTGATAGATCTTCCCCACTCCAAGATTATAAAAGAATTCTTTTGTATCTTCTACTTTTTATATTTTTGCTTTATGTTTACATCCGAGAGCTACTGGGAGTTTATCCCCAGGTACAGCGCCAGGAGGTGGAGCCACGTCAATTCAGTCCAGATTGCAGCCCACCTCGCCCAGGTCTGTGCCTGGACTAGTCCAGCTTAGCCCTAGGAATTGAATGTCACTAATATAAAACTAAATTTCTATATTTTGGGGACTAGCACTCTGCTCCATTGAGCTGTCTGCCTAGTCATTCACCAGGAGCACGCTGTTGAAATCACTGAGGCTTTCCCTGTTCTTTAGTATCTGATAGGGTAAGTCTTAGTTCATTGTTCTTGTTTAAACTTCTTACTTCATCAAATAAGCACACTGAACAGGACCCAGTTCCTAAAAAATCAGGCATCCATTCTGATTGAAATAAATCACAGAAATTCAAGAAGGAAGATAGACGTCACAGTATGGGCATTTCCAAATCACTGCTGCGGTTTCAAAATCCAAAAGCTTGGACTCAAGAAAAGGCTCAGAGCTCCCTGGGATACTGTGGAACTGAAAGGGCAAGAGATAGTCCCTTCACCTCCAGCCAAGTTAGCTACCGCCAGCAGCTCCAGCTCCCCGTGATCCCCTTGGATAGTAAGTTCATCTAATTTGTATTTCAATGAAACCCTTATGTCCGGGCCTGTCTCAGGCCTTGGGAGGTCATGATCCACACCCCCAGATCTTTTTTTTTTTTTTTGGTACCTGGGATCGAACCCAGGGGTGCTTCACCACTGAGCCACATCCCCAGCCCTTTTTATATTTTATTTAGAGACAGGGTCTCCCTTATTTGCTGAGGCTGGCTTTGAACTTGTGATCCTCCTGCCTTAGCCTCTGGGTTATAGGTGTGCACCACAACACCTGGCTTTCTTAAAAGCTTCTAAAAGCAGAAATTAGCCCCCTTCAGTGTGACATTGTCTCCCCATCTTCTGGGGCATGTGGTTTGGTTTAGGTTTCGGCTTTGGTGCTGGAGATGGAACCCAGGGCCTCCCAAGTGCCAAGCATATCCTCTACCACTGAGCTATGCCCCAGCCCCCTGGGTTTTTGAAGTCCTCAGGGACTGTTTCAAGGGTGCTGTGCTCTCTGCAGCTTGTCTTGGGCTTCCCACTGACTTTCTTGTCTTGCTATGACCTCTGTTCTTGAGGCCAGCACCTAGAGAGCTCAGCTGCTCTCCGCCAGCGACCACCCACTGATGTGCCCTCCCTTACCCACTCTGGTCCCAGGGAAGGAGTAACCCTCCACGATGTGCCTCCCAAGCTTGGAACAGGCCCTAGCAACCCCTGGAAATGGCTTCCTGGATCCTGCAGGCCTGAGCCTAACCTCAGGAGCCCTTCCTGAGCAGGTTCTCACCTGGCTTCAGGTAAGCCTTCACAGCCCGGGGCCAGCTCTCCATCCCTGCGCCCCTCCACCAGGAAGCTCCACACTCCAGAATCTAGGCCTGGCTGATCCCACTGGGCCCAGAAAGAGTGGTCCTCCCTAAAGAACTTGTCTTACACCCTCTTTCTCAAAAGGACCCAACCAGTGGATCCTCGCAGGACTAGGCCACTCCGCTGCCACCCTAACAGTCAGAAGACGTTCCCAGTGGCAGGTTTCCCAGCTTCAGGACTTGTACTGAGGTCCTCAACAAGCACCTCACCCGCCACACTCTGTGAGAGGAGGGCGCTAACCCGGTCTTCCAGACCAGAGCACCAGCAGGTTGAACCCTGGTGGCACCAGGAACCCCTGCAGGTGGCCAAGTACTGTGGCACGGGCCTACACCAACGTCCTCTAGACCTGTGTGTGGCTGTCTGATGGCAGGAACACCACGTGGCCTGTGGAATGATAACTGAGAAAAGCACAGGGGAGCGCACAGCGCTGCAGCGGAGTCCGAGCACCGCCCTTACTCTGCCTTCTACCTTGGGGGAGCATGGGGCTCCTCTGACCCACAGTGTCCTCGTCTGTTAAGGTGGTAATAATGCTGTCACCCTCATAGGAGGCTGTACAGTTTTAATCCAGAACAAGGCCTGGCATTTACTAAAGCCTCAATACCACCAGCTGTGGCTCTTCTTTGAGCCAGGGAGCAGCCTAACGAGAGATGGCAAGAGGCAGAAGGCAAAGAGCTTCCTGCCTTTCCTTTAGGTCTTGAGGATCAATTTTGTCACCTTAGGGAAGGAAGGGGTGACTCTCCAATGACATTGATCTCAATCCCTTGGGAGTGGGTTTGCACCAGGTTAGTCTTATCTTTAGCCTCCTGGGTCTTTTCGAAGCCCCCTCCCCCAGACTCAGAGCCAGTCTGGGACCTACTTGAGGATAAAGGCCTCTGGCTGCTGACACGTGTCCGTCATTAAGCTGTCCTCTCTTTGCCCCAAACCCGTCCTC